TTTTCTCAAATCAAGAAAATATTTTCTCGGACAGAGAACATACTTTCTTGATTTGATACATAAATGATTTTGAATTAATATATTCTGCATTTCTTACATGCTACTTAATTTCTTGATCGAATTCCATATTTTCTTGGATCAAGAATATCTGCGTTCTCTCACAAAATAAATGTTTTCTTTATTTAAATCTTGAATTACTTGAACGAACGTTACAAAAAATTGAATGAATCAAATAAAATAATTCAATTAACTATATATATTCTTAGAACAAGAAAATATTTTATTCATTTAATACATTTTATATTTCGTACAAGTCGATTAACTTCTTGGTCAAATTCCATATTTTCTTGGATCAAGAATATCTGTTCTTCTCACAAAATAAATGTTTTCTTCATTTAAATCTTGAATTACTTGAACGAACGTTACAAAAAATTGAATGAATCAAATAAAATAATTCAATTAACTATATATATTCTTAGAACAAGAAAATATTTTATTCATTTAATACATTTCATACTTCGTATAAGAAGATTAACTTCTTGGTCGAATTCCATATTTTCTTGGATCAAGAATATATGTTCTTCTCCCAAATATCCTATGTCAAGAAAATCGTTTTCTTGAATCAATACTTTAATAGTCTTGGCCGTATTCAATCCCACGATTTGCTTCAACCAAGAAAAATTTTCTTGGTTCAATACTTTTTTTTTTCAGTGTACAAGCGTCTAATCAAGGAGAATTCCAGTTTAAATTTCATAATAATTCCCGAACTTCATCGAAAGAAAAGATGTGCCGACCCCGTTTTTCACAAGCGCTGAATAAAAGTAAAGTCTAGTATATAAGAGACTTCCCAGGTCCCTACAACCAGCGTGCGATTCAATGCGTCGTGTATTTGCGTTTATTTGTGTACAAATTATGTGTGCGTTAGAATATATGTAGGTAGCTATAAGTGTATTATGTATGTATGTGTGTGTATCCTCCTCAACCAATCACAGTTCGCCTTGCTTGACGAATGTCGATCAAGTATATACGCGTATACACAACTTCTTTTTTTTATTTTCTTTGCTACGGAATTGTTCCGGAACTATTCTGTAGCCCTTATAAGAGCTTCTTCATATATGAAGCGACCCTCTGAATTTTTCCCGAACTCATCGGAAGTTCTACCGTCCAGACTATCTGAAATACTCAGCCGCTACATTTCGTAAAAACTATCACATAAATACCGAGTTCTTACCATATACAGTGAGTTCTCGCGAGTCGTTCAATTCTCGAAAATTTTCAAGATCATAAAACTCACGAGTCGTTCAACGCATAAGCCACGCCTCCAAGGCTATTACAGGGATGTGTGAAACATATTTATCGCCCCGAAAGACACAATTTCAATGACTTTGGTCCGTTTAAATTACACAGCACTGAGCACCGGCGCGCGCATGCTAGAAATTGAACGACTCGTGAATCGGACACTGATCAGCTGTTGAACGACTGGCGAGTTTGAACGACTCGTGAGTTGAACGACTCGCGAGAACTCACTGTAATTCCTAAAAATCTATTTTGAAAGTTCGACATTTCTTCCAAATAACAGCTCTATAATAATTACCGACTTTTGCTCATATCCTCAATTTCGGAACGAATTCAGGAACTATTTCCGAATTATTTTTTTCCGTGTACGCGGAGAATCACCCATGTATGTCCGTCTGTAGACCAAAATGTTGTTAAATATTTTAAATTAACATATTTAAAGTAACCTAAAGGTGAATAAAAAACACAAAAAAAATTTTTTTGGGGCCTTCAAGAAGAAACTACTGAGTACACTGCAAAAAATGGCGTCTCAAAATAAGACGTTTAGACGTTTATAAACGTCTTATGTAAATAAGCGTCTTATTTGAGCGTCTTAAATGAAAAACATAACCTCCAAATACATGCATTTTAGAAGGCAAATAAGACGCTTATAAACGTCTTAGAAGTGACCACGTAAACTTCTTAAACCAAGACGCTCTTTTTTTACAGTGTACACTTCCTATGAGTTTCATTGCAATTGGAGGGGTAAAACATATGGCGGATTTCACGTCAAATGTCCAACCAAATTAAAATTGTTGATTAATCAATCCCCAATTTTTTTATGAGTTGTCCTATACGTTAGTAATTTATTTGCCAAATATTTTTGAATTTTATTAAAAATATTATAGTTAATTATCAGAAGGGGAGGGGGTAAACGTTTTTAGTTTTGATGTGACACGCACTACTTCATTTATTTATTGTATATTTAAATGAAACAATGAAAAATAGTTTTCGAAAATGGTTTCTTTCGATTTTTTCATCAGCTTTCGATTGCCAAAGACCATTTCAGAAAATTTTTTGATTTTGACAAAAAATTTTGAAAATTACAGATAAAATTCAAATTTTTTCATCTTCGGGCTCTTTTTTTTATTTTATTTTTAATGAAATTCGCCATATGTTTTACCCCTCCAATTTCAATGAAACTCATACACGGAGAGAAATTTGAACCGTAAAAGACAGTGTCTAATTCAGAAGGTTAAAAGAGGGGGAAAGTTCACGGTAAATCTGAGTGATTTCACCGAGTTTTTCCATTCACGAATCGCAAGTGGCAGTGACAGTAACCGTCAGAGAGCGCTACATCTTGTAGAAAATTATGATGAGTTTCCATTCATCGCCTAAGACTCTGATCACACCGTGATTTTACGTTCAACCTTCTCTCCGTGTAGGAAGTGTACTAAGTAGTTTCTTCTTTAAGGCCCCAAAAGAAATTTTTTTGTGTTTTTTATTCACTTTTAGGTTATACTTCAAATATGTTAATTTAAGATATTCAAAGTACTTTTAGATTTTAGAACAATAAATTACGTGTTCTATTATATAGCTTATTTTATTATTCTTTTTTATTATTCTTCATGTATACCCTTTTCGGGTATTTTTTTGTTTTTAATAAATAAAATTAATAAAAAAATAAATACTTGTTTATTCAATTAGCTTCTTATATGTAAAGCACCTAAAAACTAGGGTTATTTTTAAACTTTGCAAATAATTAAGTTGGGCAAAAAAACATGAAGATATTTTATGATTTGATCAATTTCAGCAACAGTTTAAACAAATAATTGTTATGTATTTACAAATGAAGGGCTGGCTGCAATAAGGGCGGGCAGATTTTTTTCTTATTCTTCTCTCATAAGCTGAGTCCAGAATGAGAGAGTCTGTGCACCGATGTTCATAGCTATAGGTATACTACAGCATGCTTTAGTATATCTATAGATATGAACATCGGTGCGCACCCTCTCTCATTCTGGACTCAGCTATATACTTAAAATTAAATATTATAATAATTATTTTATTTTTTATTTTCTTTCATTTTTTTGAATAATTTCAAATTCAAAATTCAAAAAATTTCCTATACATAATTAATTATTATTGTTTAATATTAGAAAATTTTTTTCGTGCGAGTAAAAAAATTAACGAATAAAAAAAGTAAACTAAAATAATAATTGACAATCGTTGGAATTTTTTTAAACTATAAAATAAGAAGAAAAATTCACATCATCCTGAAGTTGGACCATTTTACCATTTTCAGTTAGCTTTGTGCCAGTTTGATGCCATATGTAACATTAATATGATTATTACTGTTTTTATTATACAGACAACATTATGAGGCGTTGGAATGAAAATATTCTAATCTGAATTCATATAGAAAAAAATTCCCTCTCTCGAATAAACGAAATGAAGACATTTTTTTTTGTCATACTCTTGATTGGGAAAAATTTTTATTTACAAAAAAAAATTGAAAAATGTTAATCATTGTATAAATATTTAAAATTAAATGGTTATTTAATTTTAATTATTTCCCCACTGAATAGTGATTATCTCTTTCTCTTTTCAGTTATTTTAGCGAATAAGTTCTTGACAAGTGAAGAACACACTTGAAACATGATTTCAAAAGTTTCGTTAATTAAAACTTTTCCAGTTATAATTTTTCATGAATAAAACATTGAATCAATTTTTTCGGTAAATTAATTCTACAGGTGCAATAATTATTAATTTAAGAGAATAATGTGTAAATTTGTATTTATTTTTCAATGTAAATAAATTTATATTTTCGATTTCCGGTGAATAATAAATACACGGAGAGAAATTTATAGTAGTGGATAACATAATTGTGGTTATAGGGTGACCATCTTTAATGCTACGTATACAGACAGCTATCTAGATAGTCACCGTTACCATCAATATCATCAGGAGTAACATCTTGGTAGTACGGGGTAGCATAACTTTATTTTTTTTAGCATCTGTGATGGTTGGCAGTAGCATAATGATAGTATCGTGTAACATCATCTTTTTAACATCAAAATCTGACTATCCATTTCTCTCAGTGTAATTGCCGGTGCTTGTAATTTATTTATCTATTTTGATTTACTTATTTATTTAATTTAATTATTATTATGAATATATTTTTAACGAAATATATTTTAATTAAAATATTTTCAATGAAATATAGGGTAATATTTATGATTAATTATCAACAAAACTTTGTGCTACTCATTGCGCTACTCGAAAATGGTTGTATCTCTATAGTCGGACACCATGATTTTTAAAATATTAAATAAAATATTTCTTGTTTAATTATTTTGTAAAATAACACTATTTTCATAAAATATAAACTTTACACATTCGTCCAGTATATTTTTTAAAGTAATTATCACAATGCATTATTATTTATTTGCCAAAAAACACGAAAGTGTCCGACTACTAGTACTCTCCCGACTATACCCGCACTTACCCTATTTTAATACCAACATTTTCAATAACTTACAGCTATTTTTTATAAAATTTATGAAAACGACTTAAATAAAAATTATTCAATCAACAGAATAATTTGTTTTATAGTTTTAATACATCACTTCTGTTTTGAAGAAACTGATTAACTTTATATAAAAAAAGTCGACTATTCATAAAATAAAGTTTTCGCAAAGAAAATGTATTTTTCTTGTACTTTGCAGATTGGCGAAAAATGGATTATCTGGTACACTATAATTCTCAATTGAGGTGAGGTTCGCTCGCATATATAATATTAATATTGTGTAATGGAAATATAATTTTCAATTTGAATTATCGCATTGAATATGTCTTCGAGGAATCATTTAAGAACTTCCTCTTAAATTTCTGTAATAAAGAATACATTCTTGGCACCACATTTAATATTACAAGTCAGCATCGCTCGCTGTCTCTTCAAGAATTCATATTGAGAACTGCAATCTTCAAATAAATTTCAAATCACCGCATTTTATTATAATAATAATTTCTTCATTTTTATTTTATTATCTTTTTTTAATTATTATCATGTTTCGTTCCTTTTTATTTATTTGTTTATTTATTGTGTAAACGGGCTTTTAAAAATAATTATATTTATTATTAATTTGTTATTTATTTATCTTTTATGTTTTTAATAATTTTATTTATATTTTTATTATATATGATAACAGACTTTAAAAAAGTGTTTCATAATTTCGTACCACAGAAACGTGTTAAATATTTTCAAATTATGTTGAAGGGGACCGTACACCACTTTTGGGTGTTTTTTCAACATTTATTTTTATCAAAACACTAGGCTCTTTTCACACATATTAACACACATATTGAGGATTAAGAAAAAAATATTTTTTTATTTATTCTGCCCTTCATGGCGACAAAATGGCGGTTGAAGTGATTGTCCGGAAAAAACTGGTTGACACGATATCTCTGGTTCAAAATGTCTAAAACAAAAAATCCAAAGAATTTCTTAAAATATATGTCAGTGGCTATGGCATGAACCACAAAAAATGAATTTGAAAAAAATGAGTAAATGGCGGCGGTTTTAATTTTTTTCACCCCTTTTTCACCCCTAAAACGGTAAAAAAATGGGGTTAAAAATGGATGTAAAATGTTGGTTGTGGTTCATGCCATAGCCACTGACATATATTTTAAGAAATTCTTTGGATTTTTTGTTTTAGACATTTTGAAGCAGAGATATCGTGTCAACCAGTTTTTTCCGGACAATCACTTTAGCCGCCATTTTGTCGCCATGAAAGGCAGAATAAATAAAAAAATATTTTTTTCTTAATCCTCAATATGTGTGTTAATATGTGTGAAAAGAGCCCAGTGTTTCGATACATTTTACTATAAAAAAATAAATGTTTAAAAACACGCAAAAGTGGTGTACGGTCCCCTTAAATAATAATTTATTTATTTATTAACGAGGCGGCATAATAATATTGTTATACAAGATGATTCTGTTTATTTGAAGTCATTTTTACACGTAATGTATTTTTTGTTTGTTTTAGAAAATTTACTTAAAGAGAGATGTCATTATGAGAGGTAAGTTGTCGTTAAAATCAACAATAAAATATAAATAAAATCTTATTTTAAGTCTTAAATCATCATTAACAAAAGAAAAATAGCTATATTTATACACAGATGCGTTGCTATTTTCCTAGTTTTCTACACTCAAAACTTTTTCAGACAAATGTCATATCCTTTAATATCCACAAGATTTATTTTCCAAATTTTAAGAATATTAGACGATTTTGATGATCTACTTTTCTATCGGCGCCCATGATTATCCCCTAGAGTTCATTCCAAATAACTTTCAAGAGGAAGAATTTCATAAGATATAACTTTTCTTTTACAGATGTTTTGTTTGTTTAAATTACTATATATCATAATGCATACGTAAACAAAAGATTTAATAAAGGAATGATTAAAAATAAAAATATTTAGTGACATTACTTTTTAAATAAAAGAATTTGTATTTGAAATAATGTTTAAGAGTTAGAGTTTTTATTGGGGTAAAGGTTCTTTGATTAAAAATTCTATGTCTAGTAAATTTTGTTAAAGAAAATTATTGTTTAGCATGAAACTTATTTAATAGAAAATTCATATGTTGAATTTTTTATTTAACAGAATTTTTATACAGCACCATCCTCATTTCAATAAAAAATTATCGAATGTAATTTAATAGGAATTGTTATTTTAACAAATTTATAATTTACAAAACTGAAATTTGTATAAATTTTTCTAAGCCACAATTTATATTGAAAGAAAATTTCGTTTATAAGATTCTTATTTAATTGAAATACATAGAATTGTGAGTGATTGTTTATTTATTAAAATTTTTTGCAGACATTATGCAAAATGATTAAATGTTTTAATTGTCTAATATTTTATTTGATAAAATTTTTATATAAAATATTTTTTATTTGCAATAAGTTTTGCACACAAAAATTTTCATGTTAAAAAAATTGCGTTTATCTAATTTTTATTCGATAAAAATTTTACTTATCGAAATTTATGTTGAATCGATTTTTTATTCAATAGAATTTTTGTTTGTGTAAATTTTCATTACACAATTTACTTTATGTCAAATTTTTTTTAAATCGAAATGTACACTGAGAGACCTTTGGGACTGTAGCGGAACAACGTATGTGACAGCAGCTCCACTATGGTTTTGGTGCGCTGCGGTAAAATCTTGGGCGCGTGACAGTCCCAAATGTTGGTGAACAGCTCACCGAAGTAGTGGCCCACTACTATATCCCGTATTTTTCAATTTAATATGGCTGTGATATCCATGTATCTGGATGTGTCAACTATTCCTTTTTCTCCGTGCAGGTCCCAAAAAGACACTTTTTCATGTCTTTGGCGAACAAAATATTTTATACGATAGAAAGGCGTGCATGATTATTAGGGTGGTCCAAAAATACATGGGAAAAAAATAAAATCGGAATTTTAATGCTCTCACCCCCTAGGAATGTTCTTTATGGAGAAAACAAATACCCCTATTTTTTTAAATAAAAAAATATTTAGAGGTCGCTCCCCAGTGAGAAATTTCTCACCGGTCCAATATCGGTCCAATATTGGGAGCCAAGAGACCGATCATCGGTCCAATAAAGGCTCCCAATATTGGACCAATATGGGCTGATGCTTGGGATGTAACGGCATCGCCAATCATCGGTTGTCAATATTGGTCCAATATTGGCAACCAAGAGAAAAAAATTTTTTTTAATAAATTTTTTTTAATTAAATAATAATAATAAAAAATTAATGTTTATAATTTTTGTTTAATATATTTATTTGTTTAATTATTTATTTTTAATAATTCATGTAAATAATAAATAATTTATTATTTATAAATTATAATTATTTAAAAATGCAGCAGCTATTAGAAAATAGCATTCTGCAAAAAAATTCTATCATTGAAAAATCTATGATAGGCGAGAGAAATCCGCGTCTTTAAATAGATTCGCAGATGATAGACAAGAGATATCCGCGTCATTAAACGGATTCGCAGATATACTCTGGTCTCGCGACGAATCTCTCGATACATATATACACTGGAGTCGCCGTGTCAGTTGCGAGAACGGTTACAGCGTCCCCCTTTCGGCGGAGATAAGAATTGTCACGTAAACTGCGGGTATAATAAGGCGGTCGGTAAAGCGATTTAGCAGTTTACGTGACAATTCTTATCTCTGCCGCAAGAGGGACGCTGTAACCGTTCTCGCAACTGACACGGCGACTCCAGTGTATATATGTATCGAGAGATTCGTCGCGAGACCAGAGTATATCTGCGAATCCGTTTAATGACGCGGATATCTCTTGTCTATCATCTGCGAATCTATTTACAGACGCGGATTTCTCTCGCCTATCATTGATTTTTCAATGATAGAATTTTTTTGCAGAATGCTATTTTCTAATAGCTGCTGCATTTTTAAATAATTATAATTTATAAATAATAAATTATTTATTATTTACATGAATTATTAAAAATAAATAATTAAACAAATAAATATATTAAACAAAAATTATAAACATTAATTTTTTATTATTATTATTTAATTAAAAAAAATTTATTTAAAAAAATTTTTTCTCTTGGTTGCCAATATTCGGCCAATATTGGACCAATATTGACAACCGATGATTGGCGATGCCGTTACATCCCAAGCATCAGCCCATATTGGTCCAATATTGGGAGTCAATCGGCGCCCAACACGGCAACCAATATTGGACCGATATTGGACCGATTAAAGTCTATTGGCAATTTCTCACTGGGTCAAAGCGCTGGAAGTTTCCCATGTAAAATGCATAGGGGAAAAAACACTTTTTCGTAGAATTGGTATAGAATCCTTGAAAATCAATATTTTTCATTTAGCAAACTCTGTTTCTCTTCAGAAGACTTCAAAGAATAGTGCTAAATTGTTTATTTAATAATTTTTCAAATTAAATATTTTTTATAATGCCCCAAAAAAACCCCATAAATTTCAAAATTACAAAAAAACCATTAAAAAATATTTTTTACTATTTTTATGAAACTTTTTTCCTAGATTTTGAATAAATAATACAAATATTGATTTTTAAACATTATTCCATGTAATTGTTAATTTGTTTAAACAAATTATTATTGTTTATTTACAACTTTTTATCTAATTGAGCTAAAAATTTTCGATTTTTTCTCAATTTTGCAACTTTTCAGGCCGGATGTAACCAGTCACTATCAACTAACTAAGAATATTAATTTTACCAATTGTTTAAACAAATTACTATTGTTTAATTTTATCTTTTTATCAAATTGAGCTGTAGAATCGCAATTTTTTCTCAATTTTGTATTTTTCCAAGCCAAGTGTAACTAAAGTTACTAACAACAATCTAAGAATTACAATTTTACCAATTGTTTAAACAAATTGTTATTTTAAATTTGAAGCTATCGCAGTAGTAATTTCAATGACGTAAATAAAAATTTTTGACTTATCATTTTTATAATAATAAGTTTATTGTTCACAATTTTTACTCGAAAATTAAGTCTTACAATAATTATTACCTCACAAAAAAAATAAAATATACAATTAAAAAAAAGTTGCAACTCTGCAGCTCAATTTGATAAAAAGATAAAATTAATCAATAGTAATTTGTTTAAACAATTGGTAAAATTAATATTCTTAGTTAGTTGATAGTGACTGGTTACATCCGGCCTGAAAAGTTGCAAAATTGAGAAAAAATCGAAAATTTTTAGCTCAATTAGATAGAAAGTTGTAAATAAACAATAATAATTTGTTTAAACAAATTAGCAATTACATGGAATAATGTTTAAAAATCAATATTTGTGTTATTTATTCATAATCTAGGAAAAAACTTTGATAAAAATAATAAAAAATACTTTTTAACGATTTTTTTGTAATTTTGAAATTTATGGGGGTTTTTTGGGGTACTACAAAAAAAAGTTAATTTAAAAAAATGATTAAATAAATAATTTAGCACTATTTTTTGAAGTCTTCTGAAGAGAAACAGAGTTTGCTGAATAAAAATTATTGATTTTCAAGGATTCTATACCAATTCTACGAAAAAGTGTTTTTTCCCATGCATTTTACATGGGAAACTTTGAGCGCTTTGAGCGACCTCTAAATATTTGTTTATTTTAAAAAAAAAATAGGGGTATTTTTTTTCTCTATATAGAACAATCCTAGGGGGTGAGAGCATTAAAATTCCGATTTTACTTTTTTTGGACCACTCTAATGATTATCCCCTAGAGTTCATTCCAAATAACTTTCAAGAGGAAGAATTTCATAAGATATAACTTTTCTTTTACGGATGTTTTGTTTGTTTAAATTACTATATATCATAATGCATACGTAAACAAAAGATTTAATAAAGAAATGATTAAAAATAAAAATATTTAGTGACATTACTTTTCAAATAAAAGAATTTGTATTTGAAATAATGTTTAAGAATTAAAGTTTTTATTGAGCTAAAGGTTCTTTGATTAAAAATTCTATTTCTAGTAAATTTTGTTAAAGAAAATTATTGTTTAGCAGGAAACTTATTTAATAGAAAATTCATATGTTGAATTTTTTATTTAACAGAATTTTCATACGTAACAATCCTCATTTTAATAAAAAATTATCGAATGTATTTTTTGTTTGATTGATTATTCATTAATAGAATTTGTCATTTTAACAAATTTAAAATTTACAGAACTGAAATTTGTATAAATTTTTATAAGACACAATTTATATTGAAAGAAAATTTCGTTTATAAGATTCTTATTTAATTTAAATAGAATTGTGAGCGATTGTTTATTTATTAAAATTGTTACAGACATTATCCAAAATTATGAAAAGTTTTAATTGTCTAATATATTTTATTTGATAAAATATTCTTTATTTGTAATAATTTTTGCACACCAAAATTTTCATGTTAAAAAAGTTGCGTTTATCAAATTTTTATTCGATAAAAATTTTACTTATCGAAATTTATATTGAATCGATTTTTTATTCATTGGAATTTTTGTTTATGTAAATTTTCTTCATCTTACACAATTTACTTTATGT